CTGCATGTAGTGGACCTCGTCAAACACGACCCAGGCCACCTCCCGCAGCAGCTCGCTGCCCTTGTAGATCATGGCGCGCAGGATCTCGGTGGTCATGACCACCACGGCCGCGTTGGGGTTGAGGGTGACGTCACCCGTCATCAGCCCAACGTCCCCAAACTCGCTGGCCAGCTCGCGGTACTTCTGGTTGGACAGGGCCTTGGGTGGAGGGGTGAGGGTATGAGGAGGGGGGAGGGGGCCGGGTAGGAGGTGGGGTGATTAGGTTCTTGTTGCCGCGCGCGAGAGAAGGAGAGAATGTTTATGTGGGTGTGGTTGTATGTGGGAGAGGGTATGTGTGTGAGTGCGCAAGTGCATGCATGCGCGTGACCCCGAGATCGCACGCGTGTGTGATTTCTGCATGTGCGTCAAACAGACTAATGACGGCAGGCCCAGGCATGAGCAGACCGGGTGAACGGGCAGCAGGGCTGCTGACCAAGCAGTCATACAAGGTCTGACAGGAAGGGGGCTCGAGTGAGGGGCGGCCGGGGATGAGGGAGCGGTGCTGCTGCATCCGCGCCCCGCCTGCTTGAGCCAGGCCTGTAGATGAGGGGAGCAGGCAACAGGCCAAGGCCCAGGCAGCTGCACGCTTGCACTTGAGGCGCACGCACACCCTTGTGTGCAATCATCTGCCCCCCCCCCAGAACACCACCCCCCAATCCACCCCGGCACAGTGATACACATCATGCAGCCCCCTGCGATGCGCAGCGCTGCTGGTGCTGCGCCACCCCCCGCAGTGACGCCCAGTCCGCCCCCGTCAGTCCTGATAACGTCTTTGTCGATCACCGGCGGTCTGCCCTTATCCTAATCACTCATTCACACCCACAGCATCCACAAGGTACGTGGACATGTGAACGAAGCAGCCCTGTCCCCTTCCCACCCTCAACCTCAAAGTAGCAGACTGTCGCTCCGAATTCAACGCCAACATTCCTACGCCGACCTTGATGGGTGACGTGTATATGACGCGTTGCTTGTCCCTGAACGCCATGGCAATGGCGTACTCCGCCACCACGGTCTTGCCGGCGCTGGTGTGGGCCGCAACCAGCACCGACTCGCGCCGCTCCTAGGGGATTCAGCAGTCGGGGTGGCACGGCGTGGTTTGGGTGACACAGCCCGCCGTCTGCTTGTGATCCCTAGCAGATGCTTGCCCGCCTGCCGCTGCAAAGTGACAGTCAACGCATATTCCGACGTATTGCAGCCGCGACGGGCGGCCGCGGGCGGTCGCTGCTGCACTGGGACAGCTGGGGCAGCACTGCATCAACGCGCCATCGCAGCACTGCACGCGGCACCGCACCAAGCAGGCAATCGAAGTCTGCTGGAAGGGATCGAGCGTGAAGGGATACTCCTTGGCCATTTGCCCCTTGTATACGGGCTGGTCCAGTGTGCCTGCGCGAGGGGATCACCCAGATCAGCGAGCTCCAAGGCTGCGGCATCGCGATCTGTCGACAATCGCTCTACGCACTACTGTAATCTGATACTCAAGGCTCATACACACCATGCGTCTTCTCATCGAGGTCTACAGTGGCGTCGTCGAACCCCTCGGGCCTCGCGACCTCGTGAGTGCAGGTCGGGGGCGGCCGTGACAGCTTTTTGGAGCTTTGAGGCTCTTCCGGAGCATCTTGAGCTGCCTTGCGCTTCTTGCCGAGCAGCTCCCGCGTCGCCGCGGCCACGGCGAGCCCCTCGGGCGTCGCCTCCATGGAGCGGGGCGCGCCAGGCGCCTGCGACTGCTCTCTGGCGTGGCTGACAAGCCTGAATGAACGTATGAACGGACAGTATTGTGTGGCCATTGGCGCAGCACACATCATGATGGTTGCCGAGCTTTGACAGCATGCCCCTTCCCCTGCCTGCGTGTTGTGCGACGCGTGTGTGCTGTGCTGTGCTGTGCTGTGCTGTGCTGTGCTGTGCTGTGCTGTGCTGTGCTGTGCTGTGCTGTGCTGTGCCGTGCCGTGCTGCGGCGTGGACACTTCAATGCTCAAATGGCAGAGGCAGTGCGCCGGCCGCACACACAGTCGCACATCGCAATTACACCATCGTGTAGACACTGTGATTCCATGGTTCAGTACGCGTTTCATACGTCAAAGTTGCAACTGCGCAGAGCGGAACCCAGCACGCATTGCACGCCAGCCAAGTTGCACCCAACCACCCACATCAGCCACGCATACATCGATGACTGCTCAAACGTCAGTTCCTGCCGAGAAGCTTGTGTCAGGGCAACTGCTGGGACCAACAGTGAGTTATTGGCGCCCCCTGCAACCCACACAATGAAAACAAACAGGTGCACGCGGCAACTCGGGAAAGTGCACCCTCAACAAGGCTAGACCACACCCCAAAGATACACAGTACGAAGCGTTTAAAAGCCACTGGATTGAAGCGCATTCACGCGGGATGCGCCGCGCCCTCCTGCACTGCAGCAGGTGGCCCAGCCAGGGCGCTCAGGGGTTCCACCTTGATGCCATAGACAAACTGGTTCCACGCCTTCACCTCATCCGGCCCCATCCTCAACGGCGCGCTCACCGGCGTCGCGTCCCGCTTGTACGCCGCCGCGCCCTGCGCCTGCGCGTGCGCCATGATGCGAGCCACCCGCGGCAGCCGCGCGCCGCGCCACGCCGCGAGCGCCCCCCCCACGTCCGCGCCCGCCAGCCAGCCGCCGGGCTCGCCGCCGCCGGGCGCCGCCCGCGCGGCAGCGGACGCCAGCGCCAGGTGGCGTGCCAGGTGGTATGCGTCCTCGAAGGCCATGTTGAGGCCCTGCCCCGTGGGGCGGACCGCGTGAGCGGCATCCCCGACGATGGCGACGCGGCCTGGGCGGAGGGGGGTGGGGTCGGGCAGGCGGGCGCGCAGGTGGCCGGGGCTGAGGGTGGCAGTCCAGCGGTCAGCAAGGAACCCGCCGGCAAAACTACCCGGGTGAGTCCATTGCGCAGACCTCATGCAGCCCCTGCCTCAATTCCACAGACCACCCCAACAGCGGCGGGCATCAAGGCTCCAGTCGCGTGCATGACGGAAATCGCACGCTCGCACTCGTGCACGCTCCCTCACCCTTTCCTTGCCCCTCTCCTCCTGCCTCCCCCTCCGTGTCCCCTCCCTCATCCTCGCCCGCACATCCTCGCACAAACACACGCACAAATGAACACACGCACGCACGCACGCACGCATGCGCCCGCGCACAAACACACACACACACACTATCCCTCTCCCTCTCTCTCTCTCTCTCTCTCTCTCTTTTACACACAACACAACCACACGCGCGCGCACATACGCGCTCTCTTGACGACACCCGCAGCCACACCATCGCACCCACCCTTGCCGAACGCCTGCTCCGTCATGTCTTCCGCTGGCCGTATGAACAGGCCGTGCTCCACAATGACTGAGGGGTCCGTCGCCGCGATCAGCTCGCGCATCGGCGCCGCCAGCGGCTCAAACGCTGCAAGGACGCGCGTCTTGGCGGCCTCGCCCTGCCGCCTGGCGGGCAGGGGGAGGGAAAGCGGGGGAGGCAACAGGAGGCAGGCGGGTGGAGCGTTACGGTAGTTGCGTGTTGCAGACACTGCGTGTTCCGCGCAGTCGGGACTGCTAGGACAGCCCCACTCCCGCCCAGACGCCTCAGCGCAATTTGCAGCACACCTCAGCCCCCCACCCCTCTCAACACTGTTCACATTGATACGACCGGGCGCGAGAAGCTGACTCCTGCCAGCGCGTGCAGGCGCATCCGTACTCGCGCAACCCCATCCCGCCATCCCAACGCACGCACGTGGCGGCCCCGCACCTGGCCTGCTCCGAAAACTCGTCCCCGCCGCCCCCCAACATAGACATCAGCTGCTGCTGCCCCGGGCGCTGCTCGCGCTGCGGCGGCCACTGGACGCCCAGCTCATGCAGGCGCTGCGCGGGCGTCGACGCCACCCAGGCCGTCTGGTCGTTGCTGAGGGGGAACAGCAGGAACGCCATGCCGCCGCCTGCTCATAATATTGGGGGGCGAATGGGGGAGGGAGCGGGGCGAATATGTGTGATAGGGGGTTCACGAGGCGGTCTGGGAATGGGGGAATCAGGCGGGGGGCTCCCATGTGGGGTTGGGGACCAGGCTGCAGGGGCGGCAATGGGCGATCGCAAGTAAACCCGCCTCCAGCTGCCCCGGTCTGCAGTCCCGGTCTGCAGTGGTCAAGGCAGCGCCGCGCGCGCTGCAGCCACCCCGCCTACTCTCTCCCTCTCAAACGCCACTCAAGGGCCGAGCACAGCCACCCGTCCGGTGGCGGGCCTCACGGCCGCTCCCCACACAGCCTCTGTCAACCCCAGCCAGAGCAGCTGCCGCTGCCCGTCCTCCCCGCCCACCAAAAAAACCCAGTCAGGGCAAGGGTCCGAACGCGGCGCCGCCCCGCGGCACGCACCCAGGCAGGACACCGTTGAGCCGTGGGGGATGTCGAAGCCGGCCACAAACTCCCGGTCCAGCCGCGCCCGCCACATCGCGGTGCCCACGTCCGACGGCGGTCCGTCTCCCACCGCCGCCTGCCTCACCTGCGGGTGCGCAGGGGGGCGGGACGCCGCAGGGCGCCATGCGGTGTGCAGCTGGCATTCCAAAGGCCACAGTTGGCCCGCGTGACGAAGGCATGCAATAAGATCTACAGCACGGGCTGCCCACAACGTTTTGATCCGTATCCTCCCAAAGCAGGCAGGCTGCGAGGCTCCTTTGCGTGGCGGGGTCCCCTGGAAGCTGCAAGGCAGCCGCCCGCACCTTTGACCAGTAGCCGTCGGCCCCGACCACCACTGACGCAGTGACAGGTTTATCGTGGCCTTGAAACTTCAACTCCACAACGCTGCCGCTGCCGCCAGCGTTGCCGCTGCCGCCGCCCTGTTCCTCCCGCGCGTCGTCGCCGCCGGCCTGCCGCAGCCCCTCTAACTTCTCCCCCAAGTGCAGCGACACGTTGCCTGGCGCGACAGGCGGCGCGTACGGTGGGGAGGAGGCCGGGGTTGCTGTGTTTGCTTTGGCAGTGCCCCTGCTGTTCAGCCTCCAAACCATCCTGAACCCCACATCCCGCCCCCCTTTGTTTCAACGACCACACGTACTCCCATGCTGCAGCAAGCAGTTGGGTCGCCGTCCTCGCGCGGCAAACACGCGCTTGCATACGCACATGGGCGCGACCGTTGCAGCTGCAACACGAGAAAACACTACATGCCAGGCTGCCGGCGCTCGCAGCGCCCAGACATTGGGTGCACGGGAAGCTACCCACCTGGCAGCTCGTCCGCGAGCAGCTGCTGCAGGTCAGACCACGCCCACGACACCCAGGGGTGGCCCCATTCGCGCTCCATCTCGCGCGAGGGGTGGCTGTCCTCGTTCACTTTCGGGGGGAAGGGGGAGGAGAGGGCGAGGGCGAGGGGTCGCGGCGGCGGGAGCGACGGCGTGACAGTGGGTCGGTGGTCTCCCGGAACCCCAACTGCCCGCCGGCCGCTCCCGTCCTCTCCTTGCCTTTGTCGGATCATAATCATCCCGCCTTCCATGCCACTGTTGCGGCTGCAAGCAGTGCCAGGGCATCCGCCGCCCCGCCCCGCCTGCCCCCCGGCCGCCCGGGACCGCTCACTCTCAGACAGCACGGTGCCGTCGATCTTGCACATGCGGCCGCGCAGCACGCGGTGGCCCTCCGCAGTGACGCGCTTGTACACCTGGGGGCATATACCCCGCAGAGCCTCCAGGCCATTCGCGAGCAGCGTGAAACCCGCGCCGCGCGGCGTGAAGCGGGGCACGCGCTCGAAGACGGCGACGCGGCAGGCGCCGCCGGAGGCGGAGGACAGCGCGTGGGCAACGGACAGGCCTGCGGGGTGTGGGTGGGGGCGCGTGTGGGGGGGGGATGGGGGCGCGTAAGGGGGGCCGCGGCGTGGATGCTTGCGCAGGAAACGGGTTTGGGGGCTTTTGTCATCGCTGCTTTCGCCTGTGTCCCCCCCTCAGGGAACGCCAGGGAGTCCGGGCCAGGCGTCACGTTGCTGACGGCCAGGCGCCGCCCCGGACGCAGCAACCACACGCGGCGTCTCAGGGGTCCAGCCAGCCGCCAACCTGCGGGCCCCGCGCCGATGATGGCCACGTCATAATCCGGCCGCGCCATGTCGGAAGCTATGGGGAAGCTGCGCGCTCGAGCTCGGGTCCGAGACGCACGGCCAGCCAGGGGCGCCGGCCGAGGCTGGGTGCGTACGGTCGCGGGCGCTCGCGCGGCTGGTTGACGTGCTGACAGATGCGGTGCTGACATTCACTGCTCAGCTGGCGGGCCTGTTGAGCCTGCCAGGCAGCCCGAAGAGGGACGCGGCGCCAACGGGCGGGGCGGTGAGTCGCGGACAGTGAGGGGGGTGCCCGAGCGTGCTGCCGGCACAACAAGCCCATGCAGCTTCAATCGATGCTGGAAACAACTGACGTGCTCAACTTGCACGCGATACGACCTACCCCGAGCTGTCGACGAGCGTGCGAACACAGCTAGATCGTACCTGAAGTCGTGAGTTCGGGTTGCGACACTAGAAATCTCAGCCACCAAGAAGCCTAGCAATCCCTTTCTGTAAACCAAGTGGCGATGGAATTCAAACTTTCAGAGCAGCGGAGAACGGGGGCAGGCCGTAGAGGCCGTATGCGGTCCGCAAAGTGCCGCTGCACTCACTGCGCTCGCAGCGTCAGCATCGCCTCTGGTGCACAACGGAGCGTCGCCACACAGCTTCCGTGTGATGCAAGCATGTGCGCCGCAGGCATATGTTTTTCAGTCGCGATCAAGGAGCCTTGTACACTCTTTGTAGGTGTGAATAGTCCAGACTGACGGTCAATTTGCCAAGTGCTTTGGCGGTCGCACGTTTCTGTGACCGTACCGCCTCCTACGGTTGACCACCCTGTCCCATAGGTAATCAACAGTACCCGACGATCGCCGATTACTTCAGCCGCCCACATGACCACGGCTGACACGCCTGATTGATAAAGCAGGCGCAGCAGTTTCATGAGCTGCATGAATTGGACGTTTCCGCAAAACAGTGTGAAGGCGTTCACAAACATAAATTGCGCAGGCATAACCCACAAAAACTGGTGCCAACAGGGCACACGCAAACAGCGGCTTGAAGGATGACATCCTATCATCACATCACCCCACCAAAGCGGTCGAGGTGGGCGGCGTCCGCACTGGCAGCGGTTGCTGGCGACGGGGGCTTACGCTCCAGGTGCGTGCTGCTCGGCCACTAGTCTGGTTGGCCTCGTTCACAGTTGTGAATGCAAGCCAACAGGAGCCTTCGCGCAATGATCAGGCCACAGCCTGGCTTAATCATCATCAATGGACGCCAGACATTCAAGCCAACAAGCGATGGGCCTGCGGTATCAGTCAGTGATCAATAGTAATCTCTCCTGGAAGCCCCGGGCGATGACGGCGACGGGCTCCTGGACGGCCCCCTGGACGGAGACCGCTGGCGCGGCCCCGCCGGCACCTGCAGCAGGCCCCCCGGCTCCGACGCGGCCCGCGGCTGCGGCAGCGACGGCCCCCAGCCGGCCTGGCGGCTTGGCGGGCGGCCGGGGGACGGGGGCGCACGTGATGGCACGGATGGCTGCACGCCGGCATTAAGCAGGAGCGATGGAGGCGGCGCGCCAAGGCCATCCGGCGACGACATCACCAGGTCGCGCCTTGCAAAATGCGGGTGAGCGCGCACAGGCACTAATGCTGGCTCGATGACGGTGTGGCGGGGCGGTGACGCGAACGCGCCCCGGTGCGGCGAGACAGACCGTCTCGGCGTCAGCAGCTGCTGCTGCTGCTGCTGCTGCTGCTGCTGCTGCAGCATGCCCCCTCGGCCCGCGCTTGATGGCCGCGGCGGCGAACGCGTCCTCGCTGCGGCTTCACCAGACCGCATCAAGGCAGCTGCCGCAGCACCCGCCACCATGGGCCCCTCCGTCAACGATCCCGGCCCGCCGCCGCCGCCGCCGCCGCCCTCGCTGCCGCTGATACTGGCGGTCCTGCGAGCCGCCGCCCGGCGCTCCCCTGCACCGCGCTGCGACACCTGCACGCCGGGATAGCCACGCGGGACTGGCTGCGGCGGCCCGGCCCCTCCGCGCGGCGGCCAAACCAGCGGCGGTGCATCCTCGTCTGCCAACTCGCTGGCCGCGGGGCGCAGCCACTCCGCCCACGTCAGCTCTGCACTCTGGGCGGGTGCCATGGTGGTGCGCTGCCGCTGCGGCTGCAGGCTGGGCGCCTCCTCGCGCCGCAGCCGGGCCCCGCGCTCCTCCCCTCCTGCCCCTCCCGCCAAGCTGGCGCGAGGCGGGGAGGCGGACGGACTGCGGCTGCGGCCGCCGTGCGGCAGCGGCTGCGGCAGCTCGGGCGGGCGCCGCTGCTGGCCCCCTGCATAGCTTGGCCGCCGCTGCGCCGCGCTGCCCTCCCAGCCGCCGCTCAACGTGATCTCACGCCATTCCTGACCTCCCAGCTGCTCCTCCTCCTCCTCCTGCTGCTGCTGCTGCTCCTGCTGCTGCTCCTGCTGCTCATCGTGCGGCCACCGCGTTTGCTGCTGCCGCCATTCCTCCATCATGGCACCCTCCTCCTCGTCCCCGTCGCCACCATCCGCGCCGCCGCCTCGCAGCTGCTGAGACGGTCGCACACGCCTGCCGCCTCCCACGCCGCCGCCTCCCACGCCGCCGCCGCCGCCTCCGCCGTGGGCACTGTCGTTCCAGCCGCGAGATGCAGACGACCTGGCCGCCGCGCCTGGCGCGTCGTACGCCTGACTCCCATCGCCGCCGCCGTCGCCGCAGTCCTCCCAACCTTCCCCCATGACCTCCAAGCTGACCGCTTCGGGGCTCCTGGCGCTGATGGGCCGCCGGCGCTGCAAGCCTGCCAGCCGCCCGCCTTGATGCTGCTCCTTCTCCCCATCCCCCTCGCCTTCGGCATCTGGGTGCAGCTGGCTCTGCTGCTGCCATCGCTCGCTGCGCCGCGACCGCCGGCTGCGCTGCACCTCCTGCCACTCGCCCCCGCCGTCACCGCCGCCTCCGCCTTCGTCCTCCCCCTGCCGCCGCTCCTCCCACACAGTGTTGGTCTGCCACCCGCCGCCCCGCCACTGCCGCTGCCACCGGGCCCGCTCGCTGCCTGCCCCTTCGTCGCCCGTCCCCTCGTCTGCGCTGTCACCGCCGCCGTCACCCTCACCCTGCCCCCACCCGTCCTCTCTCTGGCCGCCCTCCCATGATAAGGGGTTGTCCACCCACCTATCACCCGACGCGTTGCCGCCGGCGCCGAAACCGCCGGTGCCATCGGGAAGCCCCGCATCTTGCCAGCCGCTGCGCCTCGGAACAGCGGCGCTGGCGCGCAGGCCGACGCCGGCCGTCCCGACCGCAGATGAGCGCGCCCGGCGGCGGCCTTGGGGCGCCCGGCTGCCACCCTGCTCCCGGCCTTCCTCCTCATGCTCCCGCCCGGGCGCCCACCACCGCTTTCCCCCCTTCTCAAACCGCTCCTCCCCCCCCTCGTCCTCCTCCTCGCTCCCCTCCTGCCGCCACCCCCC